TAGAAGCCATCAAAAACTGGGAGGAACCAACGACAGTTTCTGAAACCCGCTCTTTTCTCGGTTTCGCAAATTTTTACCGAGAGTTTATTCCAAAATTTTCGGCCATTGCCCAGCCATTGATCAGTCTCACATCGAAACAAACCCGCTGGAGCTGGGACACGAAAGAAAAAGATGCATTCGAAAAGCTTAAGTCTATGCTATCCTCAGCACCATTATTAGCGCTTTTTTCAGCCGAGAAAGAAACCTATTTGGAAGCAGATGCCTCTGGCTATGCTATCGGTGGTGTTCTTTCTCAAATTGACGAAAAAAATCGTCTAAGACCAGTAGGTTACTTTTCACGTAAATTGACTCCAGCAGAATCAAACTATAACATTCATGATAAAGAACTGCTCGCTATTATAACAACAATGCGCCATTTTGATGGTGAGCTTCGAAGCGTTGAAAATCCTTTTACCGTTATCTCAGACCATCAAAATTTACGATATTTCACAACTTCAAGACAACTTAGCGAACGTCAAGTGAGATGGGCCGAGACCTTGGCAAGGTTTAACTTCAAAATTGTATTCCGGCCTGGCTCCCAGTCCGGTAAACCAGACTTTCTTTCGCGGCGGGCACAAGAAGCCCCGCGGGATACGTCGGACGAGCGGTTACAAGGCCGCAATATCCAGTTGTTCAAAAATAATTTAAGCACGTCTTCACCAGAAGAATTCATCTTAAATACAATAAACATTGTAGACTTTCCGGATATGACCTTGAAACATATTGAAACTGACCAGAATATCATGCCCAGCGGCAAAAAATTATTTGAAGATAAGGAAATTGCTTCTTTGTGGGACGAAGCTCTAGAAAAAGACCAAGCTTTTCACAGTATTCATGCATCAGTCGCTGCAGGCCAGTCTACTTTACCTATAGACCTTAAATTAGGGGTTCAAATGACAGATTGTAGCCTAGATGACAGAGGCGCGTTAACACGACGAGGTGCGCTATGGGTTCCAAATTGGGAGCCACTGAGAACAACGATCATACAACGTTCTCATGACTCAAGTATTACTGGACACCCCGGAAGAGACGGTACCCTTCACATAGTGTCTCGAGCATTTTTTTGGCCTCAACAATATTTAGACATTCGCAGATTCACGCGAAACTGCTCGATCTGTAGTCGATCTAAAGCGTGGCGTCAATGCCCGCAAGGATTACTCAGACCACTCCCTGTACCTGAACGCTTTCATAGTGAGTTGTCGGTAGATTTCATGACAGACTTGCCTGCGCAAAAAGAAGACGACCCCAAATATCTTATGGTTATCACTGACCGTTTACTCAAGAGCTGCACCCTAGAAGCAATGAATTCGATGGAAGCTGAAGCTTGCGCAGAACGCTTCCTAACTTGTCATTATCGTTTTCATGGGTTTCCTAAATTTATAACATCAGACAGAGGGGCAAATTGGGTGGGTCATTTCTGGACTTCTTTATGCAAAATGACAGGTATTAACCAAAGATTGTCGACCGCTTACCATCCGCAGACCGATGGTAGTACAGAAAGGATGAACCAAGAAGTGTTAAACTACCTCCGAGCATTTATTAGCTACTCGCAGATAGACTGGTCTAAACTACTCCCAACTGCCATGTTAGCACTCAATAATAGAAAATCGACAGTTATTGGCACTAGCCCATTTTTTGTTACTCACGGCTATGATGCTGAACCAATACAACAAACACATACTAATTCACGAGCAACAAAATCACCGCAAGCCCGCGCGCGAGCATTCGTAGACCGAATAATACAGGGTCAAAGCATGGCACAGGCAGCTATGACAACAGCACAGCAATTAATGGAAGAATCAGCCAACCATCATAGGAGACCAGCGGAACGTTTCAAACCGGGCGATACCGTCTGGCTAAACCTTAAAAACGTCGAAACCCCGAAACAAAAAAAGAAACTCTCATGGACTCAAGCAAAATACAGAATACAAAAAGAAATTGCACCTGATGTGTATCAACTAGATGTACCAACAGGCATACATAATCGATTTTTTGTAGACTTATTAAGGCATGACCCAAATGATCCACTGCCTTCACAAAAAGTCGATGACACACAGCCGCCCCCGTTAGTTGATGGAAAACATCCGTTGTATGCTGTTGAGAAAATAGTTCGCGCTGAAACAATCAATGGGCGTCGCAAAGTCCTGGTATTCTGGAAAGGGTTTGCTGAACCCACATGGGAGCCTCGACAAAATCTTAAGTTAACAGATGCCTACAAAGAATTTGTCAAGCAGTACGGGGATGGCGACAAAGTTGGTCTTCAGTTAGGGATGTTTACAGGTCGAACATTAAGAAATCGAACTATGCGAAAAAGAAAAACAAATAAATGAAACCGGGGGAGGAAAGTAATGTCATAGGACACTAATCACGTGCTACAATGTACGCTTGGACCAGTGAGGAACCACTTTTATGTGTATATAGTATTGCGTTAGCCACCATGTCTTTCTCTCCTCATAGATTACAATCATATCATTGTTTTGCCTTTTAGTCAGAGTCTTTCCTGACCCTCATGCTATCACATCCGTGACCACGTCACAAGTGGTAGAGTGTTGCCCCGATATATTTCTACCAAGTTGATGGCAGCAGATGGACTTACAAAGTCTCTGAATAGAGCTAAGCACGGAGAATTTATAAAGCTGCTCAATATGAGAGTTCTTGAGCTAAAATGACCATATGTTAATTTGGGTAAAGGGTGATAAATATAATGAAACAGTCTTGGGCTGAAGGAGTGTGTTGAAGTGTCAGCCTTACGCTGTTTTGTGTCACATGACTTTATCCTGTAGCGTTTACATTACTTTCTAGCGTTGTATACTAGCCATTCTTATACCTGTAACTTATACATCAATTAACTTATATTACATTCTATATACGTCCTTTAAGATTTCTTATGGTTTCTTTGGCAAGTAAAGCCATGCACGTAGGTAGTAGTGAGTCTGTATAGACCACATACCCGTATCACGCCTATTGGATCCAGGGTATATGCCTGATGCAAATAGCAATCAAACAAACAAACTCTACTATGGTTTTCAGACTCTTCAATATCCCAATTCACTTCACTGAATGTTATTAAACAGAAGCCTAACATCTTAATCTTCTCTATAAAACTCCCGCTCCACCAGTTGGCACTCTTTTATCCATGAGCTTATCTTCATTTCAGAACCAAAGTACTAACATGAGCAATATAGAATCACCCTAGCTATTAGACAGTACAGAGACACTATTCATTATCATCATGATCTACGAACTTCATGTATGACAAGTGAGACCTAGACCCATGCGATTTTCAGGCAGTATCTTATTGCATCCTTCAGCTTATATGACTCATCACATGACTAGTGCACGCCGGATTCAAATGTGTTCGGACTAGGTCCTGGTCAACGATGTCAAGCCTTATTGTGCTATTTTGCAGGCTACTGTTCCAATTATTCATGGGGTCATCATCAGGGTTGTGAGTAGTTTCGGTTTGATATGGGTTGTTAGATTGATATCTGAGCGAGTGGCAAAGTAGTCAGACATGCGACTCAAGTAGCAAAATTCACGGTAAAAATCAACCCAAAATTGACGGTACGAATCAAATTTTACATGCTACTTCCTGTGTGGCTATCGTGGCTGGAATATGGGGAGTTTACCTGTAGATAGACAAAGACGTCGTAGCCCTCTGATAGTTGGGACAAGTCTTCTACAATATTATATCGGAATCAAATCTGGCCTCTCATTGAGCAATCTCATGAATCTATTTCCAATGTCTGTGATAACAGACGTACATTTACAAAGTGGACAATCAAGTTCAAAGTCGATAAATATGCCACTCTTTCGGGTACCCGAACCATAAGTTCTTCCGACTATTTAGGTCCGGGTTCTTTTCCAAAAACTTAGCGGCCCATGCTCGATCCATAGAGCCATCTGTTGCACTCCGATACAGGCTAACCAGAGGCTACATTGCCTTTATAAATTATAATCTGGATCACAGTTTTCTTGTAATGCTCAACCCTTTCACCCATCAAACGATAGAGAAAAACAATCTTATTCACAAGCTTGTTGCAGTAAGAAGGATAAGATATATTTATGAATCAGTTTATACATCATGGATGCTCACAACTAGAGGCTTGTGAACTTTTTATATAGGCATGGACGATTGTTGACTCCCGGTAGGATTCGTAGGTTTAGTCAAACGTCACTACCAAGGTAATTTCACGTCGAACCAAAAAAAGGTCTTTGAGGCTCCAAGAATTATTCTAACTGTTGGTAGGCATATTGACTGTGTAACTGCTAGCAGTATGTCGTCAATGACTCTTCTTATGTATTCTCTACTATCATTTTATTTATTTTTTATGTCTACTGAGCACTAGTTACAACTAAAGCCCCATCTCTGAGGGGACATGGTGACTACTAAGTAATACAAAACGTGATATGCAGGGGCAGAGGCCATGAGGATACATTCAGAAACTGCGAGCGCTATGCAGCGGGTACCTCACAAGAATAGCTCATATGTTACAGAGTGGGCAGATTTCTGACAGGAACCTAACCTTCTCCAATATGGTGGTGAAACGCTTAGCTCCTGGGGAGGTGCTTAGAAGAAAATAGAGTGAGCCCATACTTCGTCGATGGCCGGCCGAAGCCAGTCTCTCTCGCACAATGGGGCAAAAAACTAAATGAGTGATTGACTTGTTAGCGCCGCAGGAACAAGTCAGAAGGGCATCAAGATGATGAAACCTTTCGTGATAGGCACGAATTATTCTCTACTATCTTCAATGCTTCGGGAAGATTTAATGGAAGTATGTCACATGATGTAGCAACGTGACATCACGAACTACTGACAATGACCCGACAGTGGTCATTAAACTGGCAAAGTTAAATCAAATTATAATTTCGATAAAATATGCTTCAACCTTCATAACTATGAAAGTCACTCTTCATTCCTCAAAACATAGTCTCATATAAACCCTCATTAATGAGCATATTTAACTACCTACAATCACACCACCATTAGGATGCAAGCATTGCCCGCTTATAAAGCTACTATCTTGGCTAGCTAAAAAAACAAAACAAGTTGCTACTTCACTTGGCTGACCTGGTCTTCCCATGGGAGAAGTAAAGTCTTTCTGCGCTTTCTCGTTCATAGTCGCTGGGATGAGGGGCGTCCAAATCGGGCCAGGACAAACGGCATTAACACGTATACCCTTCTCGATCAGCTGGTTAGAGAGTGCGCGTGTGAATGCAATTATAGCACCTTTTGTGGCGCTATAGTCAAGAAGATCTGGTCGTCCAACATAGTGATTAACCGAAGCACACGTCAGGATACTGTCGCCGCTTGACATAGAGCCAAGCGCATATTTTGAGAGGAAAAAGAAAGGGTGTACGTTGATATTGAATGTCTTGACCCATTGTTCCCTTAGACTTGTCAGTAATACCATCTTAGTTACTTAATGCTTCAGTTGTTACTCATTAAGTTCAGATATATCTTCCTTCATCATCTGATATCCATGATTCAGCACCAGAATATTGATACTTCCCATCAGATCCTTAGCCTTTGTCACAACGTCTGCACATGCTTTCTGGCCTTGCAGATCGGCCTGGATAAGGTGTAATTTGCCTCCCCTAGACTCAACAAGCCTTGTCGTCTCCTGGGCATCTTGATCCTCCTCGGGAAGGTAGACTATAGTAGATTCTGCGCCTTCCATAGCATAGAGAATGGCTATGGCTCGACCAATTCCTGAATCACCACCGGTTATCAAGGCCTTTTTCCCTCGAAGCTTTCCCGAGGGTAAGTATGGCTGAGATCCTCCATTTGCTGCGGGTAAATGGTCGTTAATCGCGTCTTGTCCAACCATCTCGTGTTGCAATCCCGGCGTAGATTGGTATGAAATGGGTATTTGATGACCTAATGTAGGAAATGTTAGAGGCATCAAATAGAAACCTGACTGATTTACCCTTCTCGAACTGGCTAGACATTTCGACGATAGATCGCGTAAGTTATTTTGCTATAGTTGTATTGTGGTCAAAAGAGGAGTGAATGAGGCTAAGAGCTTGGATCTTCTTACTTCACTCCTTACTACCAGTTTATAAAGTTTTCAAATCACCCATTAATTCTACTCAACTTTCCTTATCAGTCATGTCACATGGTAAATACTTTCAATAAGTTTACAAGCCATGCTCGTCATCTTGGTTGATCTTCCAAGTAACGGTTGGAGCAATGGCGTGATTCTGAATCCAGATTATTGGAGTGATTACTGTAACACTTGGAACACAATCTCTTGTTTCACAATGCGACTTACATGGAAAAGTTGTTTCAGATTAAATCATGTCTCGCCATTTCCAGAAAAGCCTCATTCATGATATGGCTTCATGTGCATTTCTGTCCTAAATATTACACTCGCACACACCTGAGTCTACATGTCTAGACTTGATGGGAAGTATTTGGCTGTTTTTGAGACGGAATTGGCATGTTGGGCTTTACGTGGTTTATCATGATTGCGTAAGGCGTCATGGCGACGGAGTTGACTGGAGAGTTTCACTCGACTGTTGAGGAGAGAGAATCATAATCATCAGGAGCAGCAATTTGAATATAGCTGCTGCAATCACGCTGTAAACATACCGATACTATTACTTGATAATTCTATTTGTTGCTATTTGTTATGATATGAAACAATGAAGTAGCCGAGGCTAGGACATCGCGTGTGGTTCAAGGCCACAGCATATATCACTAGTGCAGTGGTTAGGCGAGCAAGTATATAGTTTCATGGATGCACCCGCATAAATGGATACCGGTTTAGTCTTATAACTCCTATCCATATACCTACAGCATAGTATTGTACAAGTCTATTCACTGTCGCCCACAAATTATAACATCATCCACTCCTCATCACTCCGCAATGTGACTTCCGCATAGCTCATAACCACAACACAATGTGGATATCCGTCCCAGAATGCGAAGCACATGATCATAGCCTGCACCAGCTGCACCAAAGGTAGAGGATAAATACTGAGGAAGGCTGAGAACCGGTCATTTGAGGCCATGATGAACAATCCCAAAAATATTGCAAGGATAACTAGATGGATCCAGCAGGAAGGAAGGCTAGAGCAGTTTCGACTTACGCTTGAAGTCGAGACCACGAAAGAGAGAGAGAGAAGGGGAAAGATGATCTCCTGCAAGTATGTGTGTGTTTTTATTGTACTACTTGAGTCTATGACTATCTAGCAAATTGGGCTCCTCTCTGACCCAGGCCACACCTTGTACAGTGCTCCTATCCTCTTTTGTTACTTGAAAGAGCATTGATATATTCCCCTTGATGAATAGCCATTTAGCTCAGTATTTACCCGTGGAATTCGGCCACCTTTTCCACGGAACCTTCTACCCAAAAAATATAAAAATGGTAGCAATGGAAACTACGTGCGCGGGAAAAAGTCTCAAAAAACCTGCAGCCCTAGCCAGGCGAGGCCTAGACACCGGGACCACATGAGGTGCGCATATTCATCTACATCTCCCTTCTTTGTAACAGTCGAGGCCGACTTGATCCAATCCACCATCTCCGTATCGGGTGCTGGGTACGCTCCGGAAACTCATCGGATGGCTTCTCCTCCGTGATCAAGGTTTGGTGATGAGTAGAGCTCCGACCCTACCATCTGATCTGATCGTGGTTAGCTTCATGATAATGGTGGTAGGGGAACGTGTTGAGAGATGAAGACGATACAGACCGCGAAGGCGATTGGGAATCCTCGTCGAAGTGAGGACTTTGTTACTCAATCTCGGCTCTGCAGACTCTACAGTGAGAGCTGGAGGTTCGTAGGGGACACCACTAACAGGTGTTGAGAATAGTCCCCCTCTCCTGCAAATAGCAATAAGGTGGACGGTATCCGCACTGGACATAACAGTGTTATTGCACTTCTTGAAGGTAACACAACTATAAAGTGTATATAAATTGAAAAGCTGAGGGGGGGTTTTGCCATGGAGGTTTCCTCCTATATAAATATTAGAGTTCGTAGACACCTGCATGGGCCTTAAGGCGCCCAATAGGGCTAAATGAAATCAAATTCAAATTTCAATGCGTGAGACAACCGTATGTGTTTTTCTTTTGTTTTGTTCATTTACGTGCTAGGTATTGTGACTACCGTCGCACTCCTAATAGAGCTTAAGCATGGGTGGGGCCGGGCTGGATCAGGTTAACTACCATTAAGTACATCTACCTCGGCCCACCTGAATGACCGGACCACCTCAGACTTCACCCATGTGTTGAATCATGTCAAGCCCAACCGTCCAGAGAATCCTCTTTTGGCGCGCCGAAGCGCAAACTCTTCCTCAGCCTCGGCCACCACGCGCCCGAGCCCTTGACACCTCCGCGATCTGTAACTATTCCCTTCGCTTCGTTCCCAGCTTTTGCTCATCTCAGCATCTCCTCGTCTCATCCAGGGGTCGTTTTCTTCATTGGAGGCCTCATCCAGTCGCCCACCAAGGCCTCCTCTGTTTATATTCCCTTTTGATTCCTTCATACAGCATCCCTCTTTCCTTCAGCCGGTCCCGTCATCCTAGAAGCTTTGTAGAATATCCACCCCTCCGGCCTTGCTCCGTCGCTGCCGTACCCCTAACCGTGGAGGTCGAAAATGTGACTGAGAGCTCAAGACCGAGGCACCGATGCCCCAGCATTTTTCGAATGCTCTAGTTGATGTGCCGGCGAAATTCCGTACGTATTTCGTCGGTGGCGATTCGTCGCAGGTCGAGATGTTGGCGCCCTTGTCCGAGGTGAGGACGCATCTAAGGCCGGTATTTCGACCGTACCGTCACAGCGACTGGCAGTTGGGTAGGCTCGAACATCCTCTCGCTTCTTTAATGGCGATTTGGCTTTTGGAGGTATGGGATTGCTTTGGTAGGTGTTGAGATGATTGTTGAGAGGGCCGCGAGATGAGTTTGGCTGGGAATGATTTTCCAGAGAAAAAGAAAATAAGATCTTGAAGGTGTCAGTTGTTGTAATACGAACATCAGACAGGTTACAGGCTGTCTGCGGTTCAAATCTGGGGTGTAGATGGTTGATTTCGTTGAGATGTGCAGTCGTGAAATCTCTGCAAGTCGGATTTTCGACCAAAAATGAGCCAACACCACTCCTCCCGATCGCCAACCCAACGAAAACTCTCAAATTCACCCTTTGTCGTGACTGAATCTCGGCTCTGGGAGAATATTTCATTCCCAGATTTACAGAGGGCACCACTGACTGGTGTTCAACCTTCGTCCTCCGTGTTGATGTATGTCTATGGCTGGCAGGTTTAAACTTGCCAAATGAATATCATTTGGCTTGGAAGAGGCCTAACCAACCTTGCTTTAAGACCGCATACGACAGCACGTACATACTACGTCGCCTTTATCTCTTTAAGCAGTATAAGAGCCCAACAAAGAGGCATAATTAACCATGGAATGACTTGATGACCTTGTAAATATCATCTTAGAAATGATGACTAATTATATTTATGAGATATGAGTTGCCTATTTAGGAATGGCGTTAAGAGAGAGGGATAACTGCTGTATATACTTGTTTCCTTTAGATAAACAAGAATGGAAGATACATATTAACCACCAATTGTTATTACTACTATAGATAGCGTGTGATATAAATACCACCCGGTTATTCCAACATTAACAGTTAATGAACAAGTATTAATGCGGCAGATAGTGAAAGTCAAGAGAGCAATTGGTCAAAATCCTAATAGGGAAATTATATTCGGACAGCTTAAGCCCCCATGAATGTTAACATGGCTGATTTGATAGGTGAAAAGAAAGGATTTGAAGAGCTTCGATAGACTTCATGGCAGGGCTAAACACAACATCTGCACCTGCGCAGTTGAAGTTGTCGGCCCATCTATTAGTGAAAAGATGTAAGGTATATTTCCCCCACAAATTATGATAATATTTCTGTCAGAGTTTAGTCTAAGGCTAAATTTTCAACTCAAGTTTACTGGCTTATCAACTACATACTATAAGTATATCTACATATTCATATTTCGAGCAAAATTTTATCAGTTGAGCACTCGGTCCATTCGAACCAGTTCCTTGTACATGATGAAATCTCGACTTGGCGATATGGATAAGTCTCTAGTACGTGAATGATATTGATTACAGGTGCGAAGTCTTTATGCCCTTCGATGGTAAGTTGTACAGCATTGAAAGACTTCAGCTTCGTCATTTTAGGCGGATTTCAGTTGAATATTCAGCCACTCGCTCATAAATCCGAAGTTGGAGGAATCCGTCGTATGCGGGATAGACGAGGCCAAAACTCGAAACAAAATATACTTTGGAATGACGCGTATCGATTCAGGGATCAAGACTTCGACCTGCTATGAAAGATAGAGTACCGAATTAAGGCATATGTTACTGTTATGGTATATCACGCTTACCTGTAATCAATTCGATGGCCCGACCTGTGCAAAATTGGTGTGGAAATGATCGACTGGCGACGTACATCCGCAGTGCCGCGAAAGCCATGACTTGACGATCTCTCAGTATCACAAGATCAATTTAATATAGTTTTGGAATGTTAATTGAGTAGAACGGGCTGGTCGGGCTGTGACATGCGCCGCAGTGGTTACGCCCTTTCTAGATCTGATGAAAATTGAGCAATCAACACCGTGCGAGCCGGTTCTGAATGTGCACGAGTACACGATAAGTCTTTTGGCACTGTGACGTGGAAAGGTCGGTAACCAAATGATCGATGAAGTTTCACACCTTGTTTCAGGCCAAAGTGTTGATGCAGGTTGGCGATGCACTTACAGCCTGCTGCTGATGAGATTGCTGTGCCAGCCCCCCAACAGGCAGGAGATCATCATGTCCGACCGACGCGGATGCCCAAAATCGACACCAGTTCACCATTTTCGTGATAGCGATAAAGGTGTGGTATTTTTGTGGGGATACCCTATTTATTTTCTGAAGTGATAGAATCTTATTCCTCGCATCTATCCTCATGGACTTCAGGATTGAGGTAGGTTTTATTTTACTCGGCGTCGTGCCATGTTAAATTAAGCCTGTTGACATCAAAGTAACGAGAGAATGAGGCGCCCACGTGATCCTTTTTTCACGCTCAATGCCAATGAGGCGGCAGTGGCCCAAAAGCTAAATACATAACTAATGTCTAATCACAACTCTGGATAAGTAATTATTACAGCTGCGCACGGGAAGGTGCGGCAAATACAGTGGGAGAGTTTCAATCGTGCAATCCTGAACATGCAAGGAAGACGCAGCATAAAGTGTTTCAGATAATTTGATTTAACATGGGGGTTGACTGTTCCTCCACATCTTCTTGTCTTGAGTAGGTAATTATGCATGTAATTTCAATATGATAAAAGAGGATAAGAGCGTAAGCTTTGTAGGCAGCATAAGCTACACGGGGAAATTTCGCCTGATTAGCAGCCAAAGAAGCAGAGGGAAGGCACGACGACTTCGAGAAGAACAAAAACTTGTAACGGCTGACTAACATGATAGCCTTGTAGGGCCCATGCGAAGACTTGAATCAATGGCTGGGACGTCCTGCATGTGAAGCCTTGAGGTGGGAGGGATTGGGCAATGTGGGGCTAGACAGGGCAGGAGGAGTTCCAGAGTCACACCACTGAAGTTGAACGGATTAAGCAGCCAAGTTTTGGTGGCGAATCCATTGCATTGATAGCGTATACGGCCGGTTCCATTTTCTTCCGTAAGGCTGACTTTTTTTTGAATCATTTAATGTGTATTCAGCTATCTAGCTATGACACATGACCGGTGCTATGTATACATGTGGGATGACTATGTGAGCCTGACATCTGCCCCTCTTAACTTGGAGCTCTAGATCCAAGATAAAAAATACGTGAATCTTCCGTCATTAAAACAGGGCTGAAGCCTCGGAATTTTTGGAAAAAGACGTGCTTCGAGGTGATCTGTATGCCCGTGTCTGGCCTGTCAAAATTTACAGCTTCCCGTTCGAAGATTTGAAGCAACTCCCTTACTGCTGCAATATTTGGAGTCATTGTTTTTTCCCCAAAGATCACCAGAAAGAAATAAAATTACCATCAGTGCGACTAGATCCCATCACTAACACTTTCAGTTTGGCCTACTTTCGAATGTGGATTCTTTTCCATTTCCATCAGTCGTGCAGAAATTCATGCCTTTTATTCGAGACACTCATTGGGTTAAAATGTTTGTTGTAAGCACTGTATCGGTAACTTGAAGACAATCCTTTGAAGAGCACTGGCTTGACTAGTTGCCGCCTTGCACTTTGTCTATGATTCGTTAGGTACCCACCCTCTGTCGCATTCTTTTCAGTGCCTATCAGCTACTTTTCGGCTAGTTGTGCCTTTCTCCTACCCACGTTTTCCTAAAGTATTTCCCTGATAATTTCTCAGTTAAGAAAATGTTTGAGAGTTGCTTGTTTGCGTCGCACTCGTACCCATCATGGTTTAAGTGTCGACGTCAATACTCACAGAGCCGGCAATGGAATTTGCCAGTCTCTTCATCACAATCATCTTAGTTAAGTATATATTGCGATACCTGTACCTGTGAGTATCTAGCAAATTGGGCCCCTATCTAACTCATGCCACACCTTGTAGTGTGCTCCTATCCTCTTTTATTACGAATTAGATCTCTGATATCATTACATGAGTAGTAATTTGGCTTAGTCATCTGTCTTGGATTCGGCTTCCATTTCTAAGAAACCCTCTGCAGAAGAATAATTACAGCGATAGAAACGGGGTACCTGGGAAATTTTATTCAAAATTCTGTAGCATCAGCCAGGCTAGGCCTAGACAATGAACCCATACGAGACGCGCTTATCCATCTACATCTCACTTCTTTATAACATCAAAGACCAAGTGTTGAGCGGAGATGTTTGTAAGAGCTTACGGAATTTCGGCACAGATTATATCCCTTGGTGAAGCGAGAAGGATTATCTGTGCTCAACTGCCATAAGCTTTTACAAACCCATCCGCTCAACACCAACTTGATCAAGTCTAGCATTGCCGTATCAGGTTAGGATCGCCCTTGAAACTCGTCGGATTCCTTGTCTTCCGTGGCTAGGAGTGAGTGATGAGTAGGGCTTCGACCCTAACATTTGATCTGATCTTGGTTAGCTTCATGAAAATGGAGCTAGGTGGCTAGTGTCTCATCATCTTGGTTGCTCAATCAAATTACACAGAAATCCAACTTACAAAAATATTGGTGTGGCCTTGTTGACTGAGGAGAGGAGTTGTAGGTTATCTTCAGCCACCCCGATTACCTGATTGGATGGATACACGTGGGGGTGCTACTGGTTGAAACAGATTGCTGAGAAGGCACTTGACGGCCTTAAGACCTGCGGTGTTTGACCACTCGACATCAAGACAGTGCGAACCTCCGTGTCCAACATGGTTTTTCAGATGAGCGAATAATTGGAGAAATTTTGAAAAAGCTGCTTCTCAGAATACTGGGGACATCTGCATCAATCCATGCCGGATTCCGCCCTCGCATCAGTTTTCTCCGGCCGAATCAATGTCAGATAAGGGCCGACCCGCTTGTTTAGTCACTACGTCTACGTGCATGCTGGCTATGGCTTAGTGGGAGAAGATTTCATTATGTCACATGAGTGCTCATCTCACTGCACTCTACAATATGCAGATCAACAAAGTCGAATTGAAAATCCCATGTTATCATGTTGTGCATTAGAATGCCGCATCCCTACTGTGCATGTCTCCTGCTAGTATCGTTTCCCCACTCTGGACCCTTATCCCCCGCCCCGCCCCGACACCCCCCGCTAAGAATGGTCTCAGCGTATTGCTTCTAAATATCTGTTTCCAAGTTCTGATGCCATTGGCCTATCTTGAGGGAATAGGTGTCTACAATTGAGCAAAGAACAATCTTGACCCATTCTCTCAAGGCATCTACAGAAATTTCTCATCGCCCTACTCCCCTTCTAATAATCCTAACCTGATTTGATCCTTACTCCCGATATCATCGTTCAGTTATTGCATCTACGACTCCACTCGCTGCATAACACTCTCATTTAATCAACTACTAGTAACAATTTTTAACCAGTCTAGGTAGGTGGGAGGACAGCATGTCCCCATCTTTGAAGCTTATTCGACCATTCATGCAAGTTCATAGGCAAATCTCAAGAGAACAATAAAGTCATTAGCTGATTTTAATTGATCGATTTAACGCCCAGCACGGTTCTTAAATAACACAATAGATATTTATACGAAGAGAAATTATCTCTGAACCTATTATCTTGACATTTTTCATCTTGTTGACCACTTACTGCCAAAATATTGGACCTCAATCCCACGGGAATGAAGTATAGCGAAACAATTCCATCGCAACCAGTACCTCAATGGGCTCTATGTGAGGATATTTCTGCATCAGCTGTCCAAAAATTCCTAACGTATTGTCGTAGATAATGTCGATTACGATGAGCTCAAAACTCTGATCAAATCACACACCGTTATGAACCACAACCAGACCAATGCTATTATCATTCCAGGACAGAAAGATTCCTCTCTTTCGCAATTTGAGGATCTACTATACAATGAATTATCATGTCAACATGAGCGGGTGGATATATTTGTCAGAAGCAAGGCAGATGAGTTAGATCGTCGACTAAGTATGTCACCATCATTTATCTCAGCCATGTTATTAAGTAGGACTAGAACATCTCCAAATGCAAGTGTCGATGCTACTGTCAAAACTCCATCGTCCCGGCAAAAAAGGTAACTCTGTATCCTTGCGACGAGGTAGCAAGTTTGCCAAATGTGACACTCAAATTGAAAGGTGTGTATTTAATACCAACAGAATACCGATGAAAATAACACTATTTAGATGCGGTGAGGATATTCGATGTCTACAAGGATTTATCGCTGCCCAATACATAGCATTTCGTAAGATCTTGGGGAAATATCATGTATGGATACTCATATTCTTATGGGGTCAGATGTGTTCTAATCATGACCTCTTTTCCAACAGAAGTGGACAGGTTCAGAAATACTAAGTGAAAGGTTTTCTAATGACGTTCTTGGCAGCCCGAAAAGTTTTATTCGGCAGGATCTAAGTGCACTAGCATCCCAGTATACTGATCTTCTATCAAATCTTCGATCAGCTGCCCCAATCATCAGTAAAGATGATATTCAAGGAAGACCGCACTCGGACACACGACTATCCAGTCCTAAGGCACAAGTTGAACTTGAAACTTCGTCATTGCCATACTGGAACGAGTATGATGATGCGAGCGAAGCAGGCAATGAACCGTATATAATTTACATTGATTCCGAGTCGGATTATTTTCCAGGCGCGAAGACTTTAGCTCTGGCTCTCTCCAAAGCCACAAGACCCATCGTTAAACTTAAAGAGTGGTTAATCCCATCCCATTCAAAAACAGAGCGACAAAATCTTCTCGAAAATGAGTCCGATATCTATGGTGAGCAGCAGAGTGTTGTCGATACAGAAGTAGGTGATGATGGTAATGTTCAACCCAATTATTCCGCAGAAAGCTTCATCAATTATGCCACTTTTCCGAACACAGGAAGATCAAAGATACGTACGCAGCGGGAAAACCTGGCATTTTACACAATTATAGGTTGTTTTGCGGCATCCTTTATTCTATTCGTTGTAGCAGAGCTTTTAGCAAGCACAGGAAAGAAAAAACTTCGTACTGAAGTTGATACAGGAGTTATACTGGGTGTCTTTTCTAGCTTGTTATTTGCGACAATGGGTTTTTGCCTATCGCATTGTCATTACGAGAATGTTAGCTGGACTCACAAACTCGCCGTCACTGCTATCTTTGCCCTTTGCTGTATTTTGAACGGCTTTTTACTAATACAAATATCTGATTAGAATGATTTTGGCGCAAGGTAAGCTTGTATCTCGCTGCCATCTGAAAGAGCTAAGCTTTGGGTTAGAATCTCAAAAATATCGGCGTTTATCAATAAAACTAAGTTGATACCAAATTGTGGAGTCGGGGAGGACATGCGCGGCGTGGTAGGTAAAAATGGCTTGGAACAATTCAATGGCAGTAGTCCACAAATCTCTTCAATTTTCTTATGAAAAAATGAAAAGAAAAGTTAAAGTTCTGTCCATTTCAAGGAATGAAGATAAATGAATGGGGTTACCGCTTGACTGGTAAAACACGAGTGATAGTTGTTTTCTGGAGCCCACCTTCTCACTCTTTCTGGTCCAACGAGATAACGTCATCCTTTGTGTACGGACTTTTAAATATTTTAATCACAGGAATAGATGAGCAAAATTATTAAGGGCTTCTTTATCTGAGCTTGGTTTTAACCAAGTGCAACAAAGATGATAAAAATTACACAGATATCCCTTGTGAGCGTTACCACACCTGGTTAGAACGGCCTAGAATACTAAACTACCAAAATAAAAGAATTTTTTATCTACCTTGCCAAGTGACTTGTCCAAGCTAATTCTGGTAGCCTAGTAATGATATAAGAAGTGCAATTTTCTTGGATATAGTGATCAAGGACAAGATAAATTGTACGAGGAAGTTTTCTAATGATAGAGCTCTATAATAGGCAATCTAATCAGGAACTTCCGTTTTCATCACCTTGACAAATTGCCCGAAAGATTAAATATTCATTTTGTTACCAGAAAGCGATTTACATTACGGATCTCTTACTAATGAGTACCAAAAAGGGGACAAGAAAAATGAGGCCTCAGCAGATGATTTGATGATGCCTTCCATGAGGAAAACCCTATTGGTTAAGGTGAGGAAATTTCAAGGTCTCTTTTTTTTTCATCAGATTTTAATTGCATATGCAGCTATCTAGCTATGACACAATATCAAAGAGAAATACCGAAAAGATGACTCCATTTACAAGTGGAGCACTCACGCCTCAGATTTCATTTGCAAGTACCACTGCGAAGTTATAGCGGCTTTTCCTTCACCCCAAGTCAACTCTTATCCGTGAATACCCACCCAGGGGAACGTCTAAAAACCCTGAGTTATCCAGACATGCCTCTATCATCCATCAACTTTTCTCCGCGCGAAATGTGATCTGAGATGTCTCCTTCCCAAGTGGAGTAGTTGCCCAGGCTACTCAAACTATACCAGAGAACATCACCAGGAGGCGGCCAACAACAACTTCCATCGTTTGCTTGTGTTTACAGTGTCAGCTGCACTCTCGCAAGCGAAGTCTTGGCGCGCACAAAGACTAATTCGTAAAACTCCATGCCAAAATTCAGAATGTCATGCCCTTCGAGGTTATATCCTTCCATCGCATCATCTTGTAAACCTTTCCAGATCCCTCTCACGTCCATCCCAAAGAGCTGTCTCCCAGATTTGTGCGCCACGCTTTGCTTCCTCCGTCGGGTGTAAATATCAGCGTGGGCGTATATTTGGCGACCAGTTGAAGCCAGAGAAAGTCGACGAGAGGTGTGATCATTGGGATGAGGATGTACTTGCTCGCACATATAGACTTGATGAGACTTAGGAGTCAAACTCGTTGGGAGTGGAAATTTGACGTGGTGGAGTATTTTGAATCATTGCCCCGTGGGTCAACTTCTTTGTTATTGCGAAATTTGACTGAACTTGGCTCTGGGAGAATATTTCACTCCAAGGTTCGTAGAGGACACCGCGTACAGGTGTTCAGTCTTGCCCTCCTCAGCTCAGATCAATTCGCAAGGCATCAGTATCTAGAAAAGCGACATTTCATAAAAGTTAACTAAATAAATCATATTCTTAGATCAATCCGAGAGATAAACAGCTATATCATGGGAAGCATTCAGTATAATAATGAGCTTTGGATGCGCGATGTAACATCAACTTGGGCTCTTCTTAGAGCACTACAGAAAAGACTTGCTTCAACAGATCGATTTGCTAAATTAGAATTTATTAACTCGTACAGTGCACTCATAGTATACAATAAAAATCAAATTGTGGAGAGTGATTTGTACGAATGGGAAAGAATATTTGGTATCGCCATGTCAATCAAAATTCCAGATGTTATGGAAGAGCGACCCTTGTATGATTTCACCCTCTCACAGGAAAGTATCGACCAGTCATGTGCAACCAATCTCGAATTAAGAATAGATGAAAACGTCAAACGACGATCTATGAATAACTCGGTTGAACTTATCCAGCTTGACGACGTTATAGAGGAATTCAGAAAATACTATAGCAGATACAATTCATCTCGTTCCTAGATTGTCCCTGCATCGTTTGCAACTTCCCACAACGTCATTAAACCGAATTCAAAGAAATGCCTCTGTGAAAACTATCAATCATTCCAAGAGTGATATTATCCATGTCCTAGTCTCAGTCCTTCAGGCTGGCACGGAAGAGAATCTGTTTATCATAAAATCAATCCAACACTAGCGGATCCTCGGCGGACAAAAATCAAAGTATTAGTATCGAAAAGATTTAAATACGACAGCTAATCGAAAGGAGTTGGTAATATAGTTATACAATGAAATCAAAATTTAAGCCCATCTGTAAATGCTATCAAAGTTCATTATACAGAAAAACTGGAGAATTCATATCAGTATGATCCTTTGAGCTTTGCAGCACTCGCTACATCTGTTGTTATCACTTAATTACGTATATGCAGTTTAGCTGTAACATATTGCAGAGTATATGCCTGTTATGCCTTAGACAGTGTCGCCGGATCAATTGGTGTTGGTATACAGCGGAGCAAGTCCAGAAAAAATCAGTTAATTAATGATAACTAGGGAAAGACGATTCCCTACTTCTCGCTGTTTCTATAGGGAATTGTAATTATCAGCGCCGATCATAACAATCTATGTTGCTAAGCAACCACATGCAGACCGCAACATTGGTAGCCCCCGTAGCTGGCTAGGCCCTATATTCTATCCCTACCGTACTGGCGTAGACAGTATATAAACAAGGGATTAATCCCGTAACAGGCAGTAGTATATCTGTAATTCAGTCTACCAACAAGGACCCAATCATTAGGGATTGGGTCAAGTAATAATCAACCATCGTTCTCACCTAGTTCACCAATTCAGATCTGAATAATTAACCCAACAACATCAAACTCAAGAAATGCCCTGAAGAATTCTTGGATCCTAGACGGAGGTTCGGATATCCACATATGTAATGATGCAAAAAAATGGAAATTCGAGGTATCAAGGAAGGCGAATAAAGGAGAAATGATTCGAGCAGGTAATTCTAACATACCCATCGAATCATATGGAAAAGTTAAAGTTCCTGTCCATACTCCAACAGACAAAAAACACATCACTCTACAGAATGTGGGATTAGCTCATGGGTTTCTAACCAACATTGTATCAATACAATTGATAAATAAGGCTGGTTTTCATTGGAGCAGTAGGAATCCAACCGTATTAGAATGTCAAGATCAATCAACCGCTTGTTTTTTGTATCAAAATAGAGGACATATCTTATTTACCGACTCAAAAAATATTGATACTCATAATACAACGCTAATAGCCAAGCTTGACCGTGACTCAGCGCCGCGTACAATAACAAATGCAAGTCTATACAGCATGATATCACGTGCTAACGCAAAACAATATCTCACATAAACAATCATAGGGACTTTGATTTAGGGCCAGTCGTGTTGGAGCCAATAGAGAACTTAATCAAACTAATGGAGTTGCCAAAATTGGAAGGTGACACCCTATAAATAGAAGAAGAAGGCCCCAATACCATTGAAGAAATACCACTCATCCCTGAGAAATCTTCAAAATCAAAATCACCGGAAATTGGGTTAAATACCAGTTCAAAGCTTGATCTAGTAGGAAACTCCAAAGATAATATTGTATCGACTAAAAATTCAAGAAATATTAGCAGTGATATAATTCATGATTTATTTGCAACAGGAAATAAAATGGTGGAGCCGGATAAAATACATCGAAATGAGCTGCTACCGCCTCCTAAAAATCACCAGAAACTGCTACAATATCAATATTCAGCCGTGTTTGAGGCGGAAGAGTTAAAAGAATTTAGTAAACCCTTCGGAAAAGAATCGTGTACACAAAGTAGCAAAATTAAACTGGACGTAGCTAATGCACGTCGGAGCTGAGAGCTAGATAAAAAGCTCTGGCTATCAATGTAAGTAAAAAAGCTACAAATTGAATGCTAAAAGCTTCTTTTTGTCGTTTAAAGCAAGACACGCTGCTAGAAAGTCACAGAGAGGGGGGGGAGGGTGTAACGGCTACAAAGCCGGTATTTCCTGTAGCCAGGACTGGCGAGCACTGGCGTACAACTACCGGGGAACGGGCAGGCGCAAAAGCCCCGTAAAAGATACTCGAGCCTCCGGAGGAGGGACTAGAAAAGTTTCCATGTGAGTAAGGCTGATACTAAACCTTGGAGAAGCTGCTAAAAATGATACTCTTATCGTAGCAACTGGAATCATCTAGAAATGAGCTGATCTTAGAGGGAAGAACTTAGAGTGTAATAAATCTGTATATATACCTTGAATAGTATGTAAAACTTAGGTCTCCATAGTTGAATTATAAAACACCATCATCCATACAAATGCTCTTTGCTTTCTATGGTTGATCTGTGACAGGGGAGTAATATTCATCAATCAACTTCGAGCCATCAGTTTCGTGATTTTGCCATCGAAACTGAGGGAGTGTGTCGAACAGATTACCCTGAGTTAAATGTAGTATCACGGTTTTAAGTTGAGTAGTTCTGTTGTGATGGGCATGTTACACAGCTAGGATACTTGCATGTACATAACGTGATTAGATGTTTACGCTGTTTGTGTAGTTCCTGTATTGTTTGGGGTATTTGCAGGAGGAAGCTCATGTGGTCAGTAGCCGACTAGCGGCCGCACATGAGTATAAGTAGCGAGTGCTCGGCACACGATTAGCTTAGTACAGATAAAATACAGTGAACCTCGGATACACCTTCAACCACAACCTAAACTCATCAATCTACATACTCGTACAAGGTCACCATGCATAGTGACACTAACCTAAGCTCATTGTAACGGCTGGCAAGCCGATTGGTCCCTGTAGCCTATGTTGGTTAACTTAGGCCTGATTTGAGTGGCGTTATTAATGACTACCAATGCACTAATATGCGACGCCACGCAATACAATACTTTTGCGTCGGCATTTGCATGGTATTCACATGGCATCGGACCCGGCACTGCACCACATATTGATAGGCTTACACTGACTGGGAATTCACGAGACCGAGTACAATCCCTCCGGACCATGACGCGATAGTGTTGTATAACAGGCATAGTCAGAACACTAGGGGAGCCCCATAGCATAGGAATAGGAGAGGGATTAGCCTCGGTGGCGACGAGGATTTCACGTATATAAATAAATAGATAGATGCAGAGGAAGTTCTCTCCTTGGAATTATCATTTACTACCATCGACCACATAGTTGCCCCAGCACTTGTCCCGCGAGACCGTGAGACTCATAACCAAAATAACGTCACAAGCGAGTATACGATGCTGGTGCATCAAGGATAATCAATTCAATGAAATCCGAGAGAGATCCACATTAGTGTGACTTTGTCTAACACTTCCATATCCCTCTCCACGTGTTATGATGTGTCAGAGCAGCTTGTAGACAGCAGGGCGGAGACAGGGGTCAAAGAGGTGGTATTCAGGCTAAAGGGTACCATCCTACATTATGCATGAGATGGGTGTATAATTGCTCGGCCAAAAGGCTAGACCAGAATCATAGAACACTAGATTCTGGTTATCTCCACATATATAGATTATACAGAAGGCAATCCTGATAGATGTGATTATTGCATTTACTCTAAATTTATCTCTGCCAAGTGCCAGGGATACAACACATCTACGCGAGTACAGCACAGCCCTACATGGCCATCATCACGATCGACTATTGGGGCGCAGCTCTATACAATGGCATAGAGTAATGTGGGATAGTATGGCATGGAATTAAGATTGTAGTACTTCCTGCATAGACGGCGATGTACTGTATAGCGGGTACCAAATATGTGTATCTAAGTACTATCTACTACTGTGATATGTAGATGATCATAACAAAGCTATTCATCATATCGTCGAGCTCTGATAATTGTTATCCACCCTCTGCACTATCCCTAGACTATTCAATATCTCATACTTCCTCATACCTTAATGACAATACCGCGCCACAGTCACCTATTCTTCCTCAAGATGTATAGCCTCATTAGAATAACAGTCCCCCACAAACCAAGATCCCAAAATTGTATATTATAACTTCATTACTTCCTTGCGGGCAGGGCATGACCCTCAACATCTATTGGAAAAAATTAAATAACCTCATTTTAACATTGGAATAGTAGCCAGAACTTAGTTGGTAGATTCTAGAAGTTCTTCATGACCTCAGACTCAGAAGGGACTATAATTAAATTCTTATCTTATCTTCCTTGCGGGTAAACGTAGCGTCATAAATTTGCAGTGAATGATGGTCGCTAACAAATGAGGCTAGCTTCTGTTTGCAATTGGTGTAACGCCTTTACCGGTCGTTGAGGCGAGGTGGTGTTTGGAAAGGTCAAGGCAAAGGACTCTCGTGAGAATGACGAGACCGACATTGATGCGAAGTCAACCGTTATAGATGTGTCTGTTTTTGCTTTCGACTTCGGTTACGATGCCATTTTTCTCAGCTATCCCAGATATGCAGAGTATACTGAGCAATCAAATCGGCACCACTGGAAGGTGAAGAATTCGTCTTTACCGGCCATATTTTCCATTGGAGGGGGAATATTCTCAACATCTTTCATTGGTGTCCCCTACGAACCTCCAGCTCTCACTGTAGAGTCTGCAGAGCCGAGATTGAGTAACAAAGTCCTCACTTCGACGAGGATTCCCAATCGCCTTCGCGGTCTGTATCGTCTTCATCTCTCAACACGTTCCCCTACCACCATTATCATGAAGCTAACCACGATCAGATCAGATGGTAGGGTCGGAGCTCTACTCATCACCAAACCTTGATCACGGAGGAGAAGCCATCCGATGAGTTTCCGGAGCGTACCCAGCACCCGATACGGAGATGGTGGATTGGATCAAGTCGGCCTCGACTGTTACAAAGAAGGGAGATGTAGATGAATATGCGCACCTCATGTGGTCCCGGTGTCTAGGCCTCGCCTGGCTAGGGCTGCAGGTTTTTTGAGACTTTTTCCCGCGCACGTAGTTTCCATTGCTACCATTTTTATATTTTTTGGGTAGAAGGTTCCGTGGAAAAGGTGGCCGAATTCCACGGGTAAATACTGAGCTGAACGGCTATTCATCACGGGCAATATATTAATAATCTTTCAAGTAACAAAAGAGGATAGGAGCATTGTACAAGGTGTGGCCTGGGCCAGAGAGAAGCCCATTGTGCCAGATTATCTATTACTCGACTAGTACAATAAACATACCTCTCTCTCTTCTGTATATGTGTAGCTGTAAAGACACCCCGACAGCTGCTTCTTTTCTTGCATTAGAATTAACAACGGCAGCTTTGTTTAAATAGAAATTTTTGAGAATTCGTAGAGATGTAATTGCGATCCTAATTGCCTTTCAGCTAGCCATTTGTGTCGGATCCAGATTCACGATCCCGTTTTTTTTATTACAGTAAGGGAATAAAGTGGTGCTGCAGTGATAGCGAACCCAGCAACAAAATGTCGTAGGTAACCGGATGCATTTAAAAATGATCTGATTTCCGTGAATGTGGTTGGTGAGGGCCTGTCTATGACGGCAATTGCTTTATTAGGGTCAGTATAGATATTCTCTTTGTTAATGATGAAGCCTAGGAAAGTAATTTGATACTCAAACCATCTATATTTACAGAAATTTAGAAGTAAATTAAAATCGGTAAAAACTTTTAAAACTTCTTCTGCATATTCAGCATACTCCTCAATAGTACAGCCCAAAGTACAAGCATCTTCCTGCATGCCTGGAAAAATATCTTAAATTGATTTTAAAATATCGGTGATCAAAGCTTGAAATGTTGACGGCGCATTTGTTAGACCAAAAAGCATAACGAGCCATTCAAAAAGCCAATTAGGTACGATAAATGCAGTTCTCTCGGGTATCTAAAGCCTTAGGAATGTGCCAGGATTCATCGAGTAAGTCTAACGGGCAGCAAAAAATTTCACCAGCTGCCTTTTGTAACTTATCCTGAATGTTAGGTGGTGGGAAAGCCTGCTTTTTCGTGGTAAGATTAAGCTGTCAATAATCAATACCAAATCACCATGCACCATCATATTTGGGGACTGGGAGATCTGGGGCTGCTCACGGTGACTTGGACTTTTGAATCAGCTTCCATTTTAGTGATTTTTCTAGAAATTCATAGATCACATTGCATTGGGCTGGTTTGTATCTGCGGATAGGAACCTTAATTGGACTAGCAAGTCCAGTATCGATACGATGTTGAGTAGTAAATTTTTACATGGTTTTTTACGGAACGTTGAGGCTGAATCTGAATGCAGAAGCAAAGTTTTGATTGAAGGTTCTGATAAAAAATAATATTTGTCTACCTTTTTACGGTGTTTATATCGGCGTGGAAGAGTATTTCGAGGTCATCTTGATCCGAAGACTGATTTTACGAGATGTGTAGTCTTTGAAAAGAGAATATACTAGGTCGTACTTGTAGACTTAATGAAGCTTAGTTAAGAATCGGACTCTTTGGGAGTGAAAGATTGACAAGGTGGAGTATTTCGAATTGTTGCCTCAAGGGCTAACTTCTTTGATATTGCGAAATTTGACTGGACTTGAATGTGGGACAGTATTTCACTCCCAGGTTTGTAGAAATACCGCGGACAGCTGCTCAGTCTTTATCCTCCATTATTTTTCTTTGTAGCAGTAATAAAATCGACATCGGTCGTGACACTGACTTCCTGGGTTGTTGCTATCACTGGTTTTGGTCTAATATTTTTGTGATATACACCAGCCAAAATATGTAACTAGGTCTTTCCACAGTTATTTTATAGACCTTATAATTATTCTACGCGAATTGCTACAATGATTTCTGCGGGTTTCTAGTCATAACATGATACCCTGTTTCTGGGGTAATCCTTCGTCTGGTGCTGACCAGTGTACCCTCTGCACTTAAAATGCTTATTTCACGAGGCCTGGGTATGACTCTATTGGCTAGACTTGAAGCACTGCTTGATTTGGGCCCTCGGAGACCAAATCACGTCTTCATATAGCATCCTACCAAGGATGATTTCTTCCTTTGACAACCTTTTTAATATCTCAGAAAGAAAGCTTATAACAACCGACCTTTCTTTCCCCTTCTTTTTGAGCCCAAATGTGCTCTTTTCCATCGTGCAGCCTGCGGATCAGGTAGATATTGAGCCCAGGAATCTTCACTGGTCTTGCCTCGATTATTTCATTGATAATTTGTTGATTATTGGCGTTTTCTCCTCCCTTTATTTTTACCCAAAGTGGGATGCCGTGAACTTTGACAGAATAATCCTACTTCAATGGCGTAAAAATAGTCATCAGGAGCAAAACGAGGGATAAAAATATAAATTTGGTTTCTGTCCAGTTTGGACATTATTTGTAGGTCTATGAGTATGGATGACCATATTAAATAGTGAATAAGCCTCGAAGCAATAAAAAACAGCGTCGTGCTACGTTTACACGAGCCAGTTTGATATTGAGTAAGCTTCTTCGTACCTTTTATTTGTAACTGGTTTCGGAAATTTCATCAATCATTAACAATAAGGTGCTAATATGGTTAACTTGAATAAGACAAATATTTCAACATATAGACTAGGTCTTTGGAGTGTTCTCAGGGACGATCTCGCTCGTCGAACTTAAGTCGATAAGATACTTCTTACCACTGGGATAGCTATATTATTAGGTGGACGGCTTACCTCTCTTGGTCTGTCAGGCTTCCTACTGAGGACTAATGAAAATCCTAGTTCATTGATTGATTCGAATGTTTATACTGCTGTCACGGCTAAGTCTTTCACTAATATACTCGTCATTCGCGTGGCATGCTCCATGTGAGTCTAGCCTTCATCCCCATCGTAGGCCTGGCCTATGACACCCAATGATTTTTGCCAGGAAAGATCTTCCATATCAAAGTATGCGCTAATAGTCCTTTTCCCCAAACGACCCCAATTAATGTGAAAAATAGCAAAATCACTGCAATCAAATATTTTTACATGAATCCTCCACTTATCTTTACTGACTGCATCTCAAATACCGCTTTGACTGAGCACTTTGTGACCAGAATCGTGCGAAGTAGAAAATATAATTTATTACAATTATGTTTCAGATTAATTCTGCTTATATTTGTTCAGATGTAAGGCGAACTACAAGTTATTTCCTTGCAAGATAATATTTCTTTGATTGGTGGCTTTTTTCCCATTATCTCGCCATCGAACTCTGTTCGTCATAAGCCCAAGACTCATTTCCAACTCGCCTCAACAATTTACTGATAATTCTAGTGTTTATGACTTTACTATCTCTTCAATTCTAGAACAAATTATGATTACCAAAATCTTGATAATTAGAACTTGTTTTCGTGGTTAAAATCTGTTGGTTGTCACATAAAGAAAAGCATCTTTGTGGGGTAGTAGCTGCTCAAATAGCTCGATCATAGGGCATCGCAAATGACTTATTTGCAATTTCTTCATTGCATTTTTCTTTGTCTTTATCAAGAGCCTTGTTGGCTATAGCTTCTGGCTCCATCGATCTAGATGCAAGCCGCTGTTTTCGCCATTTGCAATTCTGCGACTAAGAAATGTTTTCTTTGGGCCGGCGCCCCAATATCGGTGTTGAGACCAACTCTCGTTAGGGAGCCCCGAGACACTTCTTGACAGCCTCTTCCAACTGGCTTATTCTCCTCTAATTTTATGATAGTTATCGTGACATTTTATCCAAGCCCTCTTACATCTGCTAAGGGCCTTGACCGCTTGTCTGGTATCTTAATCAATTAAATTTTCCTCTTCATCTGCTTGAACAGAGCTGATTAGCCTCATTTTTGTGAGGATTTCTAGGTTCTTTTCGCTTCGTTGTCAATCCTTTACTGTTTTTGTAGTTAGCAATCGTCACTTTTCGAAGCACACTGAGACCACTGGTTTGCTGCATACGAACTCGTATACTCGCTATGTTGTCGCATGGTCGGGTTTGGTTGAGAGAAATTTAGTAATTTTTAACGACATGCTTCACTGTGTCCAATCGACATAAGGCTACGTTAAAAGCTGTGAAGGATTTTGAGAAAAATGTTGTAATTGTGTTGTGCGACAATTGACACACAAAGTTGCTGCGATTTAATCTGTAAACTAATTCGACCGCTTGACCACAGCAAGTGTACACCCCCGAATGACGGCGTGACTTGGCTATACACTTAATGTTTTGAATTAATAGTTCTCGACACTTTCGAAAAGGCACGGCTTCTTAAATTCAGGTGACTAGAATGCCCCTTGCCTTTATACCAAAAAATCCTCACTTCAGCACCATACTTTCTGCGCTGCAATATTCTTGTAGGTCTTGGTCAATGCTATGACCCAACTGGCTATCCTTGGGACACTCGTAGATGAGCTATTAGAATCAATTATAGATGCGCCTACAAATCTATCTAAAGGCGTGAAAGAAGCTGTACCTGGTCGGGACTCACACAACTATCGTGGTACAACAAAATCCCACCCTCGGAAAGAACAGATTCTTAGAACGTTACGAAACCGTGAATGGGCTCGAACAAACCCTTTTGATGTTTACAGCCGGTTAGATGGATTGGATGAAAAATTTCGTGTCTATGGCCAGGATTTCTTGGCTAATGCTCTCTATGACCAGCGGAGGAAAATTGAAGAGATCAGCCCCCAATGGGCGCCAGAAATACTGCATTTTATCCTAGAGTTATCAGAGAGGTCTCCGACGACTCTAACCCATGGGGATATAGCACTCGCTCGAGAGCTACCATCAGAACCTACTCCTCCCTTGCGCTGGGAAGATCTACGCCTCGAAGATCCTTTGCTTCGGGATGAAATTGTATGGCAGAACGTGAGCTTCTCAGACGAGAGTACAGACGGTGAGGACGAATTCAGAGACAGTGTGAATAGTACAGAGGGCCCCGACAAAGTCCAAAATTACAGTCGAGGTGATAATTCTTATATTCGCCTGGAGGATTTTGAAGTGAAAACAAATGATCAGAAAGGCTTCCAGGAAGTCATTGATTCCCAATTTTGGCGATCCTTGAATACTCACTTGATGAGGCCGGAAGTTTCGGAAAAAAAGGTTATAACCGAGGTACAAGCAGCTCGGGAAGTGCTCTTTTTATACAGTGGGTATCCAACATCTTTATTTCAAGTGACAAAATATGAAGACAAAGCGACTATTAATATTTCAGATATTTATTCACTCAATCATATCTCACAAGATACATTCTTCAGCCTACTCAGATCGTTTACAAACCAAGCTTCTGCAGTTCTGAACCTGCGTGTATGGGTCGCCTGCTCACAAAAAGCACCCCTGATACAAGTATTTCAGCTTTTCATTCAGGATAAGCTGTTAGAATTAGATACGTACCTGAGCCAGATCCAGCAGAGGTTGATAGATCCAGTGGAAGATGTGGTTGTGAGCCTTGTAGGAATAAAGCAAGAGACTATCCCTCTATTAAGACCTCTGATAAGTTTAGCGGAAATTATAACAAAATTTAATAATGAGCCATACGGACACTCTTTCCGATGCCTCGAAATGCTGTATGACAAAACTTGTATCTCTCAAATAAATGGCGATAACGCCTTATACATATTTCATGGGAATTTGTTTTTTAAATGCCTGCAAATATATATCCGGCCAATTAGGTCTTGGATTGAAGAGGGTGAATTACAAAATGGGGATTCGGATTTTTTTGTATCAGAAACAGCCAGTGATATCAGCCTACCTCTACTATGGGAGTCTAGATTCAAAATTCGAAAGATGCCTGATGGGACTTTGTACGCTCCCAGATTTCTCAAGCCTGCTGCCGGTCGCATATTTAATACCGGCAAAAGTATTGTGGTGTTGAAGCACCTTCATAAATTCGATATACTTCAGTCTACTACAGGACACGATGAGCCTAAGTTAGACTTCGATACAGTCTGTAATCAGCCCATATTTCATCTTGCACCCTTCTCGGAACTCTTTGATATGGCTTTTGATGCCTGGGTTCGAAGCAAGCATCGGCACGCCGCTTCGATTCTCAAAAAAACACTTTTTAGTTCCTGTGGCCTTCACACCTCACTAGATGCACTTTCTCATATCTACTTTCTTGCAAATGGTAGCATTGGCACCGAATTCACATCTTTTATTTTCGAAAATTTGGAAACTTCAAAGGCATCTTGGATCGATAAATTTGCTCTAGTCGAGCATGCTCAGAGTACTTTCGGCTCGATCTCAACTGTCTCATCAGAGCGTTTAGGTATCTCTTTACTGCCATTGACTCAAGGATCTGAAGACACTAGGAAAGATCGTCTATCCATCAAAGCCCTATCGATCCTAACAATCCATTATCCTCTTTCTTGGCCCATTCAAATAGTAGTCAGACCTACAACCATTATTTCTTATCAAAGGATCTTTACTTTTTTGTTGCAGGTCCGACGAAGCTCGTATTTTCTCTCGCGCCAGCCAATTCGAGTTGACTCCTTAGACCACATAAGTCGTTCAGATGAACGTCTTCCATACTTTTCGTTTCGAATGAGGTTGCTTTGGTTCACACAAACCTTATATCACTACTTGACCTGTCTCGTTCTTGAACCCTGTTCGCAGAAGATGCAAGCCGATCTCAAAATGGCTGAAGATGTCGATATGATGATAGAAGTCCACTCCACATATATTAAAAAGTGCATTGACCAGGCTCTTCTTTGTAGCAAGTTGGATTTAATTCATGCGAATGTCCTCAAGGTCCTGGAACTTGGAATCAAGTTAGAGGAGATGCGGGAAATGAAGATTGCTGTCAATCGAACAAATATAAGTCGAAATGTGTCGGAAGTGGATTATATGTCTTTGGATCCTGGACATGCAATAGATGATACATATTGCCACGATTATGGCACAGTTAGACAGCCTAGAAATTTAGAATCATGTGGGTCAGATGAAAAAATCCGTCCTGCTAGCAGTATTCACGATACTGCATCCTCTCCGGACGAAAGTAGTCTCGTAGATGAGCCCTATGCCTTACAGTTGCGGCATTTGGAGAAAGAATTTCATCATCTGGTTAATTTTGTCTCACGCGGACTCAAAGGTGCTGCAAGAGCTGTTGGTAGTGAAGATGCAAGGCTCTGGGATATATTGGGCGAGATGTTAGAATGCGGATTGACAGGATAGCTTGTAAATCTAAAAGTTATTCGACAGCTTAAAATCACATCTCATCTCGCATAACCTGGCTTCCGCCCATGAGGATTGATATCAGTGTTCTGGTAGAAGCATGAATCATTGATTGACATGACTAACTCAGAAATATATGATAGGTCGTTGAATTATCCTCGGTGCTAGGATTTTATGGGTCGGGGAAGCATTTGAAACATTTGTTCTTGAGTTTTGTCTACAAATCAGTCAGAGCGCTTTGTTGACTTTGTACTTCTTATAGTCGGTAGTAAGTATTTATAAAAGAACACAGGTTCTATTTAAGCTTGTTCGCACACGTTGTATCTCGTTGAGGGAATAATTAGTCACGTCATGAATGACTTGAGATCATATGTACTGATCTGCACTAAAATTTGTACAACTTGATGTCTATTTGAACCCATTTATTTCTCGCCCTTCTTTATGACACACATTATCTCGCCTCTCACACGTTCCGTAAGCGTTGATAGTAGCCCAAAGAGTCTGATTTTTGACCGCATCCAAGCCATAAATCCGTCTGAGACCCATGCTTCCCGGAGCTAACTCTGATAAGATCTAGCCAAGACGTGTATTAGATTAGTGCTGAGTAGGAACTCAATCGTCTCCAAGTCTCAAAGTTCTGCAACATGCGAAGCCGTGATACTTTGTCTCTTGTCCTCTCGAGTGTCTAGTCATCAAAATTATGCGTCTAAACTCCTGTCTGTCGGTGACGAAGCCAGGCGGATTATAATTTACTTGTAAATGATTAAACTACATAGCTGCGGGATACGATTATTCGAGCGTCTACTCAGCAAACTCAGTCTGTGCTCTGTTGGTGAGTCGGAGATCCTGCTTTGCCCTCCCACTTGGCAATTGTACTCCACCGTCTCGTATTCCTCTCCAAGCTAAGTCATGGCCCACCCGAGCCCAACACCCAATACTCAGTCAGTATCCCACAGTAATTAATCCTAGTAGAAGAATAACTCAAGGTAGCTTTTACTTGTTTTATATCATTTAAGTGTATGCGACTATCTAGCTGTGACACATGATCAGTGCTATATGTACATGTAGGATGATTCTTTTGACTTTAGAGACAGTCATACTCTGTATTTCATTCGCAAACACCACTTTGCGATTTGTTCCCTTACACTGAGCAGCCGAACCTCCTCCGTGAGTACCCATCAAAGGAAATACAAACCCCTTCCTAATTCTAGCATGCCTTTTTCATCTTCGCGCAAAGAATTCGTGAGAAATGTGAATTTATTCTGCTGGATTCAAAATAGCAATATCCTATCTCAAGTGAGATGGGTATCCAAGCTATCCATACTACATTTTCGAGGTCGGCCCGGATGATGTGCCATCGGACCATCCAGACTTGATAGTATTTGCAGTGTTGCCTGTACTCTACCAAAAACAGTCATCGAGCGCACGACGCTTTTCAATTTGTTAAACTTCATTCAAAAATCATAATCTTACAATCTTTAAGATCGTATCCATTCGTAGCGTAAATTTTTCCCATCTTTCCTCATCCTTCTTACGCCCATCCCGAAGATCTGCCTCGCCTGATACGTACAATGTAATTTCTGTCTTCTTGCAGGTCAGTATATTGACGTGAGCGTGTATTTAGAGGCTAGCTGAAGCCAGAGACTGAGTTGATGCGAGGTGTTTTCGTTAAAAAGAGAATGCATCAAGTTGTACTAATAGAATCAGTAAGGCTTTAATTGGTGTTGATGTTGTTGGGAGTGAAAATTTAATTTGTTGTGGAGTCTTGAATCGTTGCCTCGCGGGTCATCTTCAATAGTGTTGCGGAGTCTGAGTGAGCTTGGCTGTGTACATACTTTACTCCTGGGCTCGTAAATGACACCATAAAAATGAGTTCATTCTTCGTCTGTTCTCTACTTGGTTGCCGGTATAATTTATCTTTTTGACAACTCTTATCTCGGCATCTATATCAAACCTTAGGGAATAAAATAAGGCGTTACTGGTATCGAATGTTTCCGCTGGCAGCTACAATTACGAAGGTAAATTTGCTGAATAGGCATGCGGGTGGCAGTGGGGCGTAGGCTGTATAGACGACCATGTCCGACTTACTTGACCCGACAGAACTGGTAGGGCTGGCTGCTTGCAACGAGGATAAGACGTTCTTGGCGAGTGCAAAGACGTCATGACTGTTGCCGGTTGGGGCTAGAAAAAAAAAAGGGTAAGATGAAGCTTGCACAGGCCCGCTACCGGCACGAACGGCTGCGGCGGCGACTTAGCTGCCCCGGACTGCAACAGTGGTGGTCCGCTGGCCCGTCTGCGTTGCGATCACTAACGATTCCCCGCCCTCACCCATAAGCTCCAGGGAATCAGGCGAGTCTCGTGACGTGACTTGGAGCTTGCCCCGGCTTTTCCTCGGCTATCTCCCTCAACTATGCAAAGAGGATGATCCGCCACAAACATCTTTACTCTGTGAGGCATAGTGCCGACCCTCCGTGGGCCTACAGGTGACATGACGTGAGAGCATGCTTAGCTCAACTCACCCCATCAAATTTCCGCATCTTATTCCAAAAACCTCGTAATGCACTCCGGAAAAGACGACGGCGGGGGAGCGCGTACATATGTTGAGTAGCTCTAGCCCTAGTGTATTCCGACGGACGGTGTGCGACATGTGATGCATCATAATGATCGTTTTAATCCTCCCCATACGCCCCAGCCAATGCTTTGTGCCGAAATACACAGGTCTTCGCTGCCGCCCATGTTGGTACAGATATGACGCTAGCCAAGGCTCATCAATAGATTTCAGAAATCGCCTTTTCACAACTCACAAGTCCTTGCTACTCGATTTCGAATGCGCTAGAAGTGGAGTACTTCATAGCTTTCGATGTTAGGATAAGACCTTCAACCGTATTTATTGTTTGTCCGGAGAAAACAGCTGGACGCTGCATAGCCAAATTTACACGCCATTTTACACAACATTTCCTAGTAGTATGTGAGTGCACCCAGAATTCAGGTTTGAAGAGGTAATTTCAGGCTCCTTATTCAGAGTTTCAGCTATAATTGAACACGAATTTTATGACAACTATCTAAACCTGTGGTAGCGTGACCACAGGAAAGAATCTATGAAGGAGACATAGATATTTCGGGCTTGTAGGCACATTGGACCCATGTGTCCTGACATAGTCATAAAATTGTTTGCACAAGAAACACGAAAGTAAAACAAATAAACCAACCATCGGCCTTGGAAGTGTGTATCTGGAATTTAAAAATAATTGAGGGCATCTCATACCGGTTCAAATAGCATATGCTTCGCGCTCGCACCATGGCCGTAGATTAGGAAAGTAGGGGATCGAGCACGTGGAAGCTTACTACTTCAAAGCGCTACATGTTAAGCGCACGAAATCCTTCGCTCTACCTGAATCATGCGAAAATTTACCAGGAACTCTTGTGGTTGAAAAGCTATCACCTGGCTTTTGCTATGATAGCTAACCTCCAATCAATTATGCAACCCGTGAATTAGAAAACTGGTGATTCCCGTCAAAATTACAACAGTGATTCAATGCTAAAAGTAAGATGTGTACTTAAAGACTTTAAATGTATACTCGCTTGTAGGCGTCCATGAAAGACGACTTCCTGAACATGCAGCCAAGCCCTGAAACTCAAATTTGATAAAATCTCTTGCGCTTTCCTATCCACTCAACGCCTAGGGCCAATTTTTACAATTCAATTCCGTTTAATGGTCTTGTTTGGATTATGTTTAATAGACAATTACCCATGATCTTAATGTGTGGACCAAGGACACGAGTTAGATCTTCAATACTAACCTGTAATTAAGCACCACTATCTCCATTAGTAGTAACAACTTCGCTAGAACTACCCAGTACAGATAACTTTTTGGTACGCAGGGTGAGGGGGAACGGGTATTCGTCAGGATCTTCTTCTTCTCTGTGGATAAATTAGAACACTAGCACAAATGACTGACTCAAGATGGGGTAACTTACGGCAATTTCCACGCGACATAGTCTTCAGTGCTTAAACCTTCGCGACCCTCTTGAAGACTGGCAAAATCGCCTGGAGTCATCATACCACTTCGATCTCTCGGTGATCCAGGAACACTGAATGGCCGAGAGATTTTCTGCTCGATACCAGGAATATAGTCCTCTTTATCATCGCCAAAAGAGGCGGGATAGGCTCTACGTAAGGCTAATTGACGGGCCTTCACATATTCCATACCCATCCGCTTCCAATCGAGTAGGTCGCTCAGGCGCTCTGTACGATTTCTTTGATTGATACGCTGGCGGCGTGACTTTGCCGCAAATTCAAACATGAATGATGTCAGCTGATTCACAGAGTCATCTACTCCTTTCATCCTTCTATCAACTATGTAGATGCCGTAATCTGTAGAATTCTCGATGAGTTCTTCCATATAACATCCAAATCCTGATAGATTAGTGGTAATGCTTGGAACTCCCATGACGGTACACTCAGCTGGTGTGTAACCCCAAGGCTCATAGTATGATGGAAATACACCCATGTGGGTGCCTCGAACAAAATCATCATAGTCCATCGGCAAGACCGGGTTGGCCGAATTCAGGAATTCTGGATGAAATATAATTTTTACACGGTCAGAGGGATGGTTGAACAGCTGCACTCTTCGGATCTGATTCAGGATGGGATCCTCTGCGTCATTTGCCATGTTGTGTGTGACGATTGGGGGAAGGCCATTTCTTTTCATTGCGAAGAGTCGACGACGAAGTAGAACACGATCTTCGCTGGTTATGAGGTCTTTTTCATCTGGCATTGCCTCTCCGTCATGCCATTTAAGAGCTCGCTCAAAAATTCGCTTCCCAACACCACGCTCGAGAACATCTACAGTATCCCGCAATGATTTGATAACAGCTTGTCCTTTTAATGCTTCAACAGTTAGAGATTGTGTTTGAGCTGGCATGATGATAAAAGCGACAATCGTAGTTTTAGAACCTGCAGCCTTAAGACGATGATTTAATCGCGCTAACGACTCAATAAACATATCGCAACCTTTATTTCTGTACTCGTATCGACCTGCTGTAAAAAAGTATAATGTATTCTCTGGCTCAAAATCATTATGTCCATAGAAATGACCACGAATAAAATCATGAATTTTTTCCTTGGCTTGTTGATGTAAATTCTGAAACTCGTGCATTGCGGAAAATTTGGTCACATTTAATCCGTTTGGCAATACTCCATCGGGTTTACGTTTCAATAGATGTTCACTTTCATATGCAGTTATGTGTGAGACGGTGGTGAAGACATCACATGCGTGGGTTGCAGCACGCTCAACGCAATATCGGTGGTAGATACCACGTTTTCCAGCTTCTGCGTCGACATCAAAATATTGTAAGTTGTTGTAAAAGTCGACAGAGCCAGCGCATAGATATCTTCCAAGAAGAGTGGCGTGAGTGGTAAAAATGGTTGTGACGTCAATACGACGCTTTCTACATAAGGGTAGTGCGACTCCAGCTAGCCATTCGTGAAAGTGAGCTATGACTGCCTTCGTCTTCTCATGGGCAACAAACTAATTTGATATATTAGTGGAGTAGTATTAGCATGTATCGGGATACTCACTTCGCCCAAAAACCAGGCCACGAGATACCCAAACACCACAGCTTCGTTTGTCTCATCATCACTAGGTGGACATGGAATCGAAGCAGTATTCCATAAATCAGCTTTCCATTCGTCAAGAAATCGGTATCCAGTTTTGGTATCGATCAATAGAACTCTGGGTGCACCCTCTATCAACCATCGTCCGTAAACTATGGTGATTCCGCGCGATTCCATAGACGCGATAGTTTCAGCGAGTTCTGGATTGGTAGGTGTAAGAACTTCGACCTCTACAGCGGCCTTGTTTTAATCAGCTTTTTACGAGGAAAACTGGTAGTTGATTGACTTACTGATTGCTGATTGAGGGGCCCTATTAGTGTATACCTATCTCCATATTCGGCTGTAGTAACTGGAGCTTTAGATTTAAGGACAGAGTAGATACCACCGACTACGCCTTGTTAGATTTCATCACCTAGAAAAATGGAAGCTTTTATATGATGAGTACCTCGATTGGCTACCTCTGTAGCTATTTCGAATAGATAATGCGAACGAATATCCCGATTAATTGAAGTCATATTGAGGCGTTAAGTGAAAATCTCGCCAGATAAAACTCGATAGCTCGGCAGTTCCTGGGTAGCTGGAAAATAGATAAGGTAGGGAATATCAGTGATTTCTGGCCGAAATTTGCATGTGCTTTAGCAGAGAGGATCAGGATAGCCACCAAGAGCTAGCCATAGATCAGAGATGTTATTTTGTGCGAAAAGGCGAGAGCGATATATTAACAGAATGATTTAGAGAAACAGAAAAGAATTTGTGGACGGAAGTATGAATTAGAACGGAGTGGTTTCTCTATAATTGCTCTGTAGTGCCAGGCGGTACTGGCATCTTAGCGGTTCGCTTGAACAATCTAAGGACTAGTCGTGACTGGCCCAAGCTCCTACTTCCACGGGCTGAGCTAAATAAGTGGAGGAGCAGGGTATCAACCCTGTTAGCAAAGTTGGGGGCCATGAAAGCGGCACTATCCTCGAATTGTCTGGGTACGGTGTATTTTAGAGATTTTGGTCACGCGTGTTACAACATTTGGAGCCCAACATGATGGAACAATTCATCAAGCGGCAGGCGCTCCTCTATTACACATGAAAAAGCCAGGTTTCTCCTCTAATTCGGCTTAAGCAAAATAGCAGGCCTGCTACGGTCAGAAATGCAGCTAAAGACAAGCGGTAGTTTTGTGGAAATCTCCGCCTTTTGCGTGGGTCTGCCCAGATATGGCTGGGGCCCTCCTATGAATTTCACCGCAGTTGATATCGCTTGCAGGGGACTGTCTCCATGTGGCAATATCACGTGATCAGCCGTCAGCCAACACCCCTAATGCTAGTGCCCACTGAAAAAACCGGTTGGCTCAAATTCGCCCATCTCCAGCGTCTCTTGCCCACCAGATTACTTCATGCTTTGACCTAAATCTTTCTGGCTCCGAGCATTTTCAACTTGCGAGTTTGTCTCAGTGGTGTGCTCCGACCGTGCGGATGCCAGGTGATCGACTCATTGGCCTCATAATTATCGCCTTAAGAAATGAAAGTCACTTCTATATTCCCACCCGCAGTACCCCAGATTACAGCAAAACAGCGGACGGAAGTCTTTCCTCCTCTGAAACTCTCGTTGTAATGGTCGATGTCAGGGTTATCGTGGCAATCAAATCTAGAAGAATAGTTTCTTGAAAAGGATACAGGTGGCACTGAACTTGCCGAGATTCAGTGACTTGGCTTCCTATTCTTCTGTTCCATAGTTTCCACAGTTGAGCAATCTTTTGGACTTAAATCAATGGTTCAAACCTATTCGTTTGGGTTGCAAGACCTGAACTAGATAACATTGAACTTTAGCAGAGCAACCACATTGAAAACGACAGTCGGCGAACAATATCAGGGTGACCTGCAATCTCTTCCTCGGCTAGACACCGTTTAATCTTGATGCACTGACTACGATGCCAGGTCACATCCTGCTTTTGGCTACATTTATTGGCAACGCTAACTCCCGCTCCGTACATCTGTCAGCCCAAGCGACCCAGTCAACAATTACGAAGGTTTACAACAGTCATGATATATCTGCAACATCTACCCCACACTCAGTATCGCTTTCTGTTGACACTCACAGACATTCAAGACTGTTTACACCAAAAGAAATATCCCACATTTCCCTTAGTTTTTAGTGCTAAATTCATTCATTTCGAGGAGTTTGCAAGGTTACTCCCACATACGCCCCAATATGCTTGCGCGCTAGAAGATGGATATGTTAACCTTTAATAGTAACATTCAAGAGAATCGTAGCTTGCAAAGTTTTATCAAATGACCAAGGTAAAGAAATTAAAGGATTAGTTTGAGCTCGCGGCATCTCGGAGTATATTTGCTGTGACTTGCTGGTCCTACAAGAAGATTTCGACCTAACCTTCAATAGACTTCCTAATCATCGGGAATAACTAGTTTTTGGTATAAAAATCACAAATGATTGTGCAGCTTTCTAGCAGGGGGGTAATCAATTGTATTATAAAGATTCCATAAAATATACGTTGAATTATATGGGCAATCACTGGGCGAAATGGCAGCCAATCACGGGTATTATACCATAGGTCTTTTTTTCGTAGTAAATGAGGATAAGTGTACTAAATAAGTAATGACCCAGGGCAGAGGAGATCAATGTGCCGGATAGTCATATTCAAGCAGCACAATAATCACCAAGTCCATTTGAGATGTAGGGCAGGTAAAACGCTTTACACTTCTCAATTTCCACTATACATGCCAATAAATACTGGGCGTGTCTCATAGGGCCCATGTATCACTATTTCAGCCAGCATTAATCACTGCACTGAATGGTCGTCAGTGAATAACGCTAATAATTATTAAAGAGTTGTGAAAGCATTTTCCCTTGCCCCTCGTCCTACTACTATATGGGACTCATAGTTTAGTAGACGATGTGTTACCTGTAATGAACAAATCTACATTTGCAAACTGAAGATATAATTTACTTTCTCGCTCTCTCCACATAACAAGTGTATTTAAAGATTGACACGCGTTTTGTGGCTTGCCCGCACGAGATACTTGAGAGCTTTGGTAAAACTACTACTCCAATACAGAGTTCAATAAAATCTGTGCCTTCAGTTTTTACGTGTTCCGAGTACAGACCATCACTGCAGTCGATTCACTAATACTTTATATAATAGTGGCTTCAATAGTAGCATCGAAGCAAGCCAGCGTGAATTTCAGTATTAATCGTAACCCGCCAAGAAGTAAATTTAAGCCACTTTGATGCAGGAGATTGTACTGATAATGTTCCCCAGAACCAATCTATCCTAAGACAGCTGAGTTAGGCGACAGATTCTTCAACCGATACTCATCCTAGCGGGTAGAGATGATGGCTTATGCGCATTTCTTCGGACCGGACTTTTCATCGCGTGGCCCGCCGAAAAGATAGTTGAGTTCAGAACCAGGCCACGAGCTTTTACGTCGCATTCCCTGGCTTAGCAGCAATTTTCCGCATCGCGCGAATACAGATAATCATCATGCCTGTACTACCATCATGGCAAAGCAGAATGAGGGATGGGAGCATCGCGATACCCGGAAGCAAAAGCTCCCAAGTTGCAATCGGATCAGGGAGACACGGTGCAGACACGCTCGCTCTGATACGCACCTACGTGCCCAGAATCCCGACGAATCCGGCCTGCGTAGTGTGACAGGGAACCCCTGAACCGGGGAGGCGGGCGATTTCGTGTGAGTTCAAGTCTTAGAAGGTGTCTCACAAGATAAACGAGAGTGGCGGTGGCAACGAAGGGCGGCCCGCCGGCAAAAGAATATTGTGCGCTGAGGAAAGGCTTGGGAAAGTTGGGTGACAGTGGGGTCTCGAGATCAAATGCCCAGTTACGGTAAGATCCTGCCGGCCACGATTCACACTGGAATGGGGGCCTCCACAAGCTCAGCACCATTGCCAACTTAACTAGAGATAAAATGGCACTCCTCATTTAGTGGTAATCGGCAGTTCTCTCTCTTCATCTATTGTGGTCAAAAAGTGCCAAGGTAGTGCATATAGCAGGCCCTTTAACTGCGGAGCAATCCTGCAGCGTCCAATACCCACCAAGAGATTCTCGCATACCATATCCTTGTAACTCCAACCCCACTGAGAATCCTGGTCATTTCATCTACGACCCGAATATTAGTAATTAACCACAACCCTCCGTAGATCATTCTGCACCATGATCAAGTGGCGGAAATCTGCAATGAACGTCTGTCAATTGTGGTTTCTACGGATCTCGGGGTGAGATATTCACCCAAAACCAGATCTAGTCTCGTGGGAGGATGAGTGAGAGAGTCTCATTCTGACGGCGATAGGGAAGAGTTGTGTCGAAAAATTTTGGCTAAAAATGTGGTCTATAGAGATATCAAGACTGCACAACTAAAAAAAACCAATCATTTAAATCCCAAATACTAACCGCAGATAGGCTCATATCTATCTGATGCTCAAATCACAACAACCGTCGCCTCTTGGAATCTCGAATTTTCCTGGAAGATATTTCCTAGCCAAACTACCCGTGCAACTCTAAACATCTGTCGCCACCTACCAATGCTCCTAACTTACTTCAAAGTCATAATTACCATGAAAGTTATCATGGGAATTGAAAACCTCAAGCCGTCGCGTGCTATGAAAATATAAGCGAATTAGCGACCTTATATCCAGAAAAAACATCATTTTTGCCAGAAAGCTGCGCAGCGTTCCACGCTACCCGTATCACCAATTTGACATCGTGATTATTATTTTTACATCTTTATCACCCTCCTTACATCTTATCGCTTTCCGTGCTCCAACATGGCAAGTGTGGGTGCTGGTGTGGGTGCTGGTGTGGGTAAATCCAGCGGTTTCGACGCGTCGCAAAATGCGGCGATGGCCCCAACAAACAACGGCAGCGGAGCGCAAACAGCTCCAAAGGATAAGAACCTCGAAATCATGGGAAACTATTGAAACAGGTTAGACTCATCGTGATGGGAGAGGTGGATGAGGAGGACTTACCCTCAATGGAGGATGTGAACGAGGCCGTGAAGGCCTTCAACGCACACAAAAGGGCCTGGACGGAAATGACCCAGAAGAAGTCTCCTACCGAGGAGAGGATGATGGCGCTCGAGGAGGTTGTCAAAAAGAGCCTCGCGGATCCCGCTCGAAAAGCTGCACCAGCAGCGGTTTCAGGCGCGCCGACACCAAGGAGCTACGCGTCGGTCGTAGCTCCGCAAATGGCGAAAACGGCGGTCAGAATAAGAATTGACGGCGCACAAAACTTGCAGCCACAAGAGCTGCTAGTAAAGGCACAACAACACATTCAAGGCGCATACGCGATTCGCCAAATGCGAAGCAACGACACTGAGGTGTTCGTCCAGTCGGCGTCCCAGAGAGACGTGGCGCTAAATATGCGACAACCAACGGACTTCAAAATTCTACGGCAAGATTTTCCAGTCGAGGTAGACGGTGTCCCATTGCGGACACGAATTGAAGGGGGCAGAGATGCCAATAATTTTGCTATCATCAGGGAGATAGAAACGGC